GCAACAGTAGTTTCGCTTTCTGTCCTAGTTCAAATTAGTTTGCATCCTCATGAAATCCTTCAGTAGTCTTTCCTTTTTAGTAAAAACTCTGCTCGCTTTCATTGCTCTAGCATTCATGTTTTCACTTTTATCTTCTCTACAGCAGTGTCTCCCTTCAGTTGTACTGCTCAGAAATGCAGAGTTAGATCTCTGCTTTTAAGGCTTCTTAACTGTGTGTCTCTTGTCTTTCCCACTTCTCTCTCTTTCTAGATGTTCCACTGATTTCTGTTATGTTTCCCTTACCATTGTTCTTGCCTTTGAATGTCTAGAATTCTTCTTGTGACAAATATCTTCAAAGGTAGGCATTGCTGTGCAGCAGAAGACAAGTGGTTGTACTGAACTGCTGCACTGTCTTTTGGCTGTGTTATGACAGGAGGCGCAGCCACTCACCTTTTCTATTGCCACTGTGCAATTCACTTGTTTCTGTTATGCCATGTGGTCACCTGTTCATTTCTTCCTTATAACAATACAGTATACATAAACACTTCTGATAGTATAGGGGAAATGCTTAGGCATTCTTGCTCCCTGTTCCTGAATGTCTCCTCTCCACTTTCTTGGCTGTGATTACAAAATGTAATATAGTTATCCTATATAAACAAAAAACCTAACATGCCTGAGAGTTGTATCACTCCCTGATTTCCCTTGTGTGTGCGCGTCAGCATATTGTATTGAAGCATTTATTTAGGATTTAGATAATTTATATATATAAATGTAACCTACCTGGTGTTTCACATAAATAAGAAGATGCAAATTATTTGTTTTCTTCCTAGATCTTCAGTTTGTCTAAAAAATGCTCTTTAGATTCATCATCTTTAGATTTATGAGAGTCTGAAATGTAGACAACCTAAAAGATTCTTCCCTTTCTTTCTTTCTTAGGTTTTCAACTCAAAGCTATTGCGTATCAAAGAGAGACACATGTTTCTTACATTCTTGGGAAGAGCCCAGTATGACCCAGCACAACCCAGTTACATCTCTCTGGACCAGCTAGTATCCTTGCCTGATGAGGTGTTTTGTACAGAGATTGCCAAAGCTTCTATACAGGACTTTGAAAAATTCTTAAAAACACTTTAATTAGTAACACATGTAAAAAGGAATAGAATAAAGTTATGAAATACACATTTTCTAAAACTACTCCCCTTTATGGTCTCTTAACTTCTGGTTTAAGAAGTTGTTGCTTATGAAACATTTGTAGGATTTAAAGGCTCGTGGTAATATTCTTCATGGTGACTTAAAATATATTTCAGAAGGATTGAGTGAATGCATGTTGATTGCTACTGAAGCAATCCTTGTAATTAATTGCTAATTTAATTCAGAGTGAATGATGCAGCATGCTAACAGAAAAGTAAACTAAAGTGGATTCTTTTTCTTTCAATAATCAGAGTTTTGGGAGATGGAAAAACTCGCTAGTGACTTATTTTGTCTTGCCCTCTGTCTTCTCCCCTCACCCTCTCTCCCAAAAGTTAGAGTAACAAGCTAATGTAGTAGCGAAGAAGTGACGTGTTTACTTGCTTTTATCTTAAGAGCTAATAATATTATTCTTTTCCTTGTACAGTAGAAAGAATTAGTGTTATACACGTGAAGCCCCTCATACTTAAAGGCATTTTTCAACAGGTTACAAAGGTGTTTCTTTGTGAAACTGGCTGCTGGAGTTAAAAAGCTGTGCAGTGAAACTTGGTTTGAAATATCAAAGAAAATCTGCAATCTGAATCTAGGCAAATTACAGAAAAAAAATAAAACTATACATGTCCCTGAAATCCAGAAGGAACTTATTTTAATTCACTTTTTCTCTTCCCCTTGTTGAGGGGGGAAATATTTTTTCCCATCCCAATGAGATTTTGTATGGCTTTAGTATGCCAGTAACCATATGAAGAGAGGCTGTAGTATATCCTTAGCCGACAGAGTTATCTTGCTCAGTTATAACAGCTTAAGTAAATGCTAACATTAGGAATCATGGGAGTATTAAAACTACTTAATTCTATCAGTAAACAAAGCACGTTAATGCAGAATTATCAAATGCTTCACAGTGTTTGGGCAAAGTGAAGAAACTGGCTAAACCCAAATGCAAAGTGTCTGGTAGTTTATTGTTTAGAAGTTTCCATTCTTTTAGTTAAAACAGTTCAGGAAACTGAAATCCAGATGTTTTCATTTGGATTTAAGCTTATTTAATGAAAAAGCCTCCATGTTTTAGAAGCGCAGTGTTGGAGCTTAAAATACCAATTTGTATGCAGATAGCAGAATAAAATTCAAAAGGTTAAATTCCCTAATAAGTGGGAAATAAAGTAAGGTCAAAGAGACATTTAAAGAATGAGAATAATAGTGATCTCTGGCTTACGACTTGGGTCTTTTATCCAGAATAAAAATTTGGAATTTGAATTGCAACACTCAAGAAAAGGAGTGCTGTCAGTACAAGCAGGGTGCGAAATGATTTACTGGGGCATCTTCACTTGAAACACAGTGAAAAGCCACATCCATTGTCCGCTATATATATCTGAGATGCTCTCTTTTGTTCTCATGTTTCCCACTGCATTGGCCCGGGAAGATCACTTGAAACCATCCATTCAGTAGACCCTTCTTGGCTGAGATGAGTAACAAATTTCATCTGAAGTGGTGGCTGAAGTGTGATGGCTAAACACTTTCCCCTTGTTCCCTCCTTTTAAATAAAAATGTCTAAGTCTAATTCAATATGCTTGCTTAGATTTTTGAGTGTATTAAAAACTAATAACAAATTATAATCTTCGATCTAGTAAAAATTTATAGTAAAAATTAATGTTAATAGAAAGTATGTGGGTTCATAATGCCAAAGTTTGCTTTTGCAGATTTGCTCTGCTGTCCTTACCACAATCTGTATTACCGTGTGACAAACCATGATATTGGAGAATGCATATATCGTGTCTTGAGCTCTGAGCTTTTAATTCCTTTAATATTTTTATATTGCTGCCAGAGCTAAACCAGTTTAAATGTTAAATGCGTGAGCTTATGCCAAAGACCTTCCCAGAAATACCATGAAAAAAGGAACCAAAAGATTTTATGGGAATGCTAAAAGGAAAAGGGGGAGAGGATACAAGAACTTCTTGAGGATTGTGCCAAACACTTTTTGGCTTTAAGATGAAAAAAAATCTTCAGAAGAAATGTTTGGCCTAGAATTACCAAACTTGTTCTAGTCTGCTGTTCCTGATAAGGGCTAGCAGCCTTTGAGCACGCTGATGAACTGAGGTGTCCTGGGTGCAAGAGGGCAAAGACCCTTTGTGGTCGCTGACACGCACCCCGAGCTGTGCTGTTTCCCTGTCCAGCCACCTGCTTTTCTGACGGAAATTGCCTCCTGTAGCAACAGTTCCAGAACAATTCCACATATTTATTTTATTTCCGTATAAATGCAGTGGTCTGTGTCCGGAGGGAGAGGCAGTGATCTGTGCCTCGGGAACCAGAGCCACTCGCCCAGCAGCTGAAATGCCTGAGCAGAGACCGGTTTTCTGCTGCTTTCTGCGACTGACGCGGTGCTTTACAGGCTGGTTTTCGGCAGATGCTCACCCTTGCCTCTCGGTTTGCTGTTACCGGCCTACCAGTCCGGCTGCCTCG